ATTCATCATACCTTCGCCCCAATTCTTGGAAAAATTGCACTCCATGTGCTCAAAGTATGGTTCTGCTACATGGACCAATAGAGGTACCTAGGAAGAGCTTCCAGGCCATGCTGTCAGCCCCTGTCTTTAGGAACTCAAGGCTGTGATCCAGTCTAAAAAGCACTACCCACAAGCCCTGCTGAATATGGGCAATATATACTAACCATGGGAATATGCAATAATTTTCTTGGTCCTCTCTGGAGGTAGTTACGATATTCGGTTCTAGGCTACCATTATTCACATTTACATCTTATCTTCCTACCAACTAGAAACTCCTTGGTGGCCAAACATTGCCTTTCTCACCTCTGTATGTGGCATATACAGGTGTGTTTTGTGAAAGAGATCCAATTTAATTTCAAGTAAAAAGTACCTTGGTGCTCATGGAATGAAATATATTTGAAGTAAGGAAGTCTGGCTATGAATGAGTTTTTGCATTTCTAAAGTTGGACAAAACACAGATTTAACAGATGACTCTTCAAGAATAGATGTGATATTTTTTAAAATAATTCATTCTCGCTGCAGGAATGTAGGTGCTAGTCAAGCTGACTGGCAGCTGGTGAATCAATCACCATGGTAACAAGTTTTCAGGAAATCAAGACTATCGTCAATTTACCCCTCTATCATGAGATTGATCACCACAGTGGTCAATGAAAGGGACATCTTTGACATCCTCACTTTAAATCAAACACCAATGTCCTACATGCTATACCTTTTGTCATCCTACTTAGAAGTGTTTGAAGAAAGAATCCCTTTAAAAAAACAAACCGTTAAGGTGTTAAATTCCTTCATCTATAGTGATTACTAGCTTATTTAATGTGCCATGGTTAATTTTCCTGAAAATCTTCACTTTTGTGTTTTCTCATTAATATTTCACATTTCTCCTTGGTAGAAGCCACTTTGTAAATGGTAACCTTTAAAATCAGTATTACTAGTTCCTGACAGTGGTCTCTCAGGGAGGTGGGACAGTGAAAGATGTCCCTTTCTGTGTTTTATGATGTCTTTTCTGTGATGCTTTCATTTTAGTAATCAAAATTCTTTTGTAGTCAAAGAAAAATAAGAAAGCTAAAATTTCAAACATTTGAAAACATGAAGGAGGAAGCAGACATTTCTTTAATATAAAGTAGTAAATTTTCTGAGTCAATCAAAGGGAAAAGAATAAATTCTGGGCCAGATACCCTATCTGTATCTTTAAGGCATGCAATAGCAAGAGATACAACTGTCTTGCTTTACTTCTTTGTTTTGTAATTATTGGTCTTATGTTCCCCCAAACAATCTTCTTCTTCTCCTTCTCTTATTTATTTATTTATGTGTGTGTCATTTTTAGCATGGATTTGGTCCTCAAAGCAAAGTTTCTTTTTATCCGAATATGATGCCAGTCTTCAGAATATCACCCAGCCTTGGTGAACATTCATATTACAGAACAAAGAGCATTTCCAGATCAAAGAACCCTATTTGGCTTTTGTTTTGTTTTTGGTACCTGGGATTAAACTCAGACCTTGAGCTTGCGAGGCAGGCAGTGGCACCACTGAGCTAAATCCCTGACCCTTTATTTATTTTTTTTAATCAAGAAATTTTATTTTGTCATCTCACACTTAGAACTTACATCTCCCAGCAGATATAGCCAGTTAATTTGCATGCCAGCAGTTGGTAGCATTCTTTGTTTGAAATCCAGATTCAAGGAACGATAACTTTAGTTCATTTCTTTCTCAGGCCACTAGTAGCAGGGATTCTAAGAATTTCGAAGGAAGGCCTTGGCTGCGCTTGCCCAGTGCCTGTCGCGGTGCCTGCTGGGAGTCAGCCGGGGCAGACTCTCTGGTCCACAGTGTGGCTGCTACATTAGGCTCCAAGGCTGACACCGTTCCAATCAGGGAGAAGGAGCTTGGGCAAAGGGAGCCTCGGGGGGCAAGGTTTTCTCCCCAGTGGAATTAAATGTTTAAGATTGGTGCTTTGCCAATTCTGAGGAGGCAGAAATTTGCTCCAGGGAAGTCATGATTGTGATACTAGTTTCTGGGTTTGGGCTCATAATTATGAGTCCAACTCGGAGAACCCAAGATCCCCCCACTCTGCTTCTAAATAGCTGAATAAACTGCTGTTCTCAAAAACCTTATGCTCCACGGAGACAAAATAGTTTTAAAGATGTTTATAACAAGCATGTCTCAATCTGGCTCTGAGCCAAACCAGTTCATTGTTTTCTCAAAGCTCTGCTTTTTAGAAGAAACAATCTAAATGTCATAAAACTGTGTTACTTGATTAGCTCTGTTTAGACAATCTAGAATTGTTTTTATAATAGCAGCAACAACAATAATAATAAATATAGTAGCCGCCACTAATATAGACACTGCTGTGTGCCAGGCACTGTGATACTTTCTATACAATTTTGCTCTCAATCTTTACAACAACTTTATGATGTAACTGCTGCTACCTTCTTGCTTTCCAGTAGAAAGCTGAGATTCACAGTGGTTAAGTGTCTTACTTAAGATCACAGCTAACTAACGATAGGCACAGAATCCAACCAAGACCCAAGACCTTCTTTTTGATCCATAATGTTACATCTTCAGGTTAAAAGAGTCTTGTCATAAAACTAGGCCTGAAAGTTCCTCTAGTGCAGGAGCTATGTCCTAAAGCACTTTTCACCCCCAACACTATAGCATCTAGTATTGACACCCAAGAAATCCCATCAACCCATTTTTTTAACTCCATATATGCTTGTATGGAGTGACCCAACCTTTACAAGTTTCTTCTTCTTCTTCTTCTTCTTTTTTTTTGGTTTTTTGAGGCAGGGTCTCACTATGTAGTTGAGACTGACCTGGAACTCAATATGTAGCCCAGGCTGGTCTCAAACTCACAGTGATCCTCCTGCCTTAGCCTCCCGAGTGCTGGGATTACAGGCGTGCACCACCATGCCCGGCTAAATTTATTCTTCTTATTTGACTGCACCACAGTGTTATTTTTTCCCTAAAGACTTGGCTGAAGGCCAACACAGAGACCCACTTAATATTTTGGCTCTTGAAGTAGAATAAACTTAATGAGACTAACTCTTTACTTCAGTGTACAGGTTAAATACTGTCCCTCCAAAATTCATGCCATCGAGAACCTCTTAGTATAAATTATTCCAAACCAGAGTCTTTGTAGTCAAGTGAAGGTGAGGTCATACTAGACTGGGGTGGGCCTTAATGTGGTGACTATTTTCCTTAAAACAAGTGGGAAGTTTGGATACAGGCACATGCAGAGAGAATAGTATGCGACAACAAAGACAGAGATTGGAGCACTGCATTTACAAGCCAAGGGATGCCGTGGGTGGCTGGCAACACCAGAAGGTAGGAGAGAGACTTGGAACAGATTATCCCTCAGAGTCTCCAGAATGAACTAGTCCTGCTGAGACCTCTATTTCAGACTTCCAGGTTCCAGAGCTGTGAGATAACACTTTTCCATTGTTTAAGCCACCCAGTTTGTGGTACAGCAGCAGGGTCCAGCTTAGGGAAATTGCCAGTGCTCTGAAGTGTCACCTGATCTTCCCATTGAGTGGCTACTCCAGAGGGCCCACCAGGTGGGGCTGCACCAATGGTGCCTTAAGATGCCACTGTTCTTCCTGGAGAGAACAGTTATCAGCAGAGATACAAAAAGAAAATGGGCAGGTGGCTCAGTTCCACACCTGCTAGTGTTCTGTGCAGTACTAGACTGGTCTGCTGTATTTTATGTTATTCCTGCTGTGGATGCAAAGCAAGCCATAGATATTCTTGTACCACCCCATGGATCAGGCAGGGTCACGTTTCCAAGCACCCTGCAGCATGTTTATGGTGCCTCTAGGCACAGGGAAACATGCAGACCACATGGTTGATACGCTAGGACTGAGCCGAGCCCAACTGTCACGAAGTAAGAGGAGGCCACCACTTGGACGAGAAATGGGCCAGAACAGTAAGACTAGGTGGACAAGCTGGAGCAGTTGCTGGACTGAGGCTAAGGAGAAATAAGACGTCAGGCAGAAAGCGGTAGAGACGTGGTCAGTCAGGTGAGAAGGAAGGGCCGGTAATGAGGAGCCCACATAGGCAGCCGGAGAGCCTAGATCAAAGCAAGAGAAACAGGAAGAAGACAGGACCCCACAGCTGAGCCTGCCAGGAATAAGTGCCAATGGCTCCTCCTACAGACGGAATTCCAAGGCAGCAGGTAAGTGTGGCAGGATGAGGGGTTCCTCTTTTCTTGGGAAACAGGCCAAGCCTGGGGTAAAAGAAACAGCATTTGGTGACCCATCTCAGGGCAGAAGGGTCAAAGACATTCAGCGTGACACCACCCTGGAAAAACATTTAGTGAGGATCAAACTCAGCTTTATGAAAGACTCTCTTATAGATTTTCTTTCCATGTGGGGATTAAAGCCCTCCCATCCCCTGCCAGCATCTACCCCATCGAGATCACCTGATGGACCTAAATGACTCACCCACATGAGAGACCCAGGAGAATAAGTGGGTTATTTTGAAGGAAACCCATTGGTCAGGGACAGGGAGGGAGTAAGGACCAAAGGAGAAAGAGGGGGAAAGAGGATCAAGTCCAAGGTCACTGACTATGACACTGGTATCTGAGAGTACAGCCTAGTGGTCACACATTTTGGAAGTAAGAAAACACAGAGAAAAACAGAAGGGCCACTCCATGACCCTCATAACCTGGACATTGGCTGTAGTAGCTATGAAGCTAAAGCAAGGCCATGCTTGGGATATTCTTTTGGAGCCTGTGAGTGTTTCAGGGCTCACTGTGGGGTTGTTTAGTAAAGGCCTCTTTCACTTTCCCCTCTACCATGAAGGACACTTCCCAAGCAATTGCAATGTCCCAGTTCATACTGTTCTACCTGCCTTACAGAGCCCTTCCATGGACAGAGAGCAACTAATGGCGTAATAACCTGGTCAGACCTCACTGGGAAGTCCACTTGGGTGTCCTAAGGCTGGGCTGGGCCTTCAGTAGAGTCAGCTTACCTTCTATTCCTGGCACATCTGTCCCACTTGTGTCATTTGGATGTGGAGCTGAAGGCGGCTCATAGCCAATCACCAAGTCAATAGTGGCCTGGGTAGAAATAAATTGTTGTAGAAAGCATTAATGTGGGGAATAGGAATATTACAGACGCAACGCAAAGTATTTCAACAGGAACTTAGAAGGGACGAACACAGAAGTAGAAAAGTGAGACTAGACAGTGGAAGACTGAAGACAAGTGCTGGACCGTGTCTGTCTCCCCACAAGGGAGTCATGGAGGAGCTACGTGGGCCAGGACACAAAGTGAATCATGGCTAGGAGGCAAGTGATAGGAGTTCAGTAACAAGCAAGTGGTAACTTGTAACTTGCCTCTGTCCTCATTGCCTCTTCTTACAAAACTATGATTACAGGTGCTTGTTTTAAATGATTTATTTATTTGTTGATTATAATTGCTGAGCGGTTTTTTTTCACGTTTTTCTCTAAAAAAATTTAACAAAAAAATGTACGTAGTACTGATTTATAAAATACAATTAAAAAAGAGAAAGCAAAGCTGATTAAAGAAGAAATAAATATGCAAATCAGAAAATTAACATAAGTGCCCCACATCTTGCATATATCATAATCCCAAGATGCTTAGGTGCCAAAGGGAAAATGGAAGCAGAAATTCTTATGAAATCTTTGTTACCAGGAAGAAGGAAGCATATTAGTTCCTTACAAGTGATAAAGACATTCTTATTTACAAAATTTTAGATAAACTTTTCACTTGGGATATTATTTTAGGACAGAAGTGTTTTTTAACATATGTTGCAAACCAATACAATTTGGAAACAGTTTGCTAGGAAAAATCAGCAAGAATTGCTAACTTGTTTTGGCCAAATACATCCCCACATCCACCATTTATTACAACTGCTTCATAAGAGATGAACATTTTAATATCAAAAATGAGAAAAGACAAACCTCAAAGAGTCCTTTGCAAGTAAGGATGGCATGTATGTAACCCCCCCACACCACATTAACTGATAAAATACGGGACATACTATTTAGGATATGCTTAGACTAAAAATTGATATATTGTTTACCTGAAATTTAAATTTAAATGGGCATCTTATACTTTCATCTGCTACTTTTGCCACATCTGGTCACCGCTAACATGTACACACAGAGAGACACACACGTACTGCAGTACCCCTGTTTTATTTCGTTTGTCTGCTCACCAGTGAATACTCCCTCGTGGATGAGCACAGTGGGTGGCTGACTTAGAACTGCAGCTCTGGGAGACAGTGACCAGATAAGTATCCCCATCCACAGTGCCATAGCAAATAAAGAACCATAAGAGCAGCATCTTATGGCTGACTGCCAAAGACCAAGGCTACAGCATGAAGGCCAAATGCAAGGAGCAGTGAGGGGCTCAGCTGCTAAATTTAGTCTGACAAACAAACTTCTGAAGCCTAGAAGAGCTCATAGATAGCTCGTCTTTGGGACAGTGGTTTTCATGCACTGTGTGCAAGAAACGTCAAGGAACCCTACAGGGTGGGGCGAATTTCAGGGGTCAGAGCCTGGGGCCTTTACTTTCCTCGGGGCATTCAGTAACAAGGCCTCTGCCACTTTAGACTTCAACATGTGCTTTCTTCTACACTTTACAAAAGTGGTAATCAGAAAAATTACTTACAACCCATCTTTTCTCAGTATCATTTCTCTCATTCAGGTTTGGGGTAGATAATAAATGACATTTTAAATTTGTTATAATCAGCACTGATTCATAGCAAATTGATAGTTTTAGAGACTAGCTCAGTGAAATTGGTGTTCCCTCCATGATATAGAAGCCTAATTTTACAAAAGTGGTAATCAGAAAAATTACTTACAACCCATCTTTTCTCAGTATCATTTCTCTCATTCAGGTTTGGGGTAGATAATAAATGACATTTTAAATTTGTTATAATCAGCACTGATTCATAGCAAATTGATAGTTTTAGAGACTAGCTCAGTGAAATTGGTGTTCCCTCCATGATATGGAGAAGCCTAACCTGTGTTCTTGTTAGGGATGTCCTTTCTTAATATATGTTTTTCACCCTTTGCCCAGGCTCTGAAGCAGCTAAAAGTTGTGTGCCAAACATGGTAACTTCATAAGGGTTTGTTGATAGTCATACAAAATCTGGACTTCAGAAGCTTGAGTTGGATTTTCAAAAAGCACATTTGAACTCTGATCTTAGATCAGATAATATATATTTATATATAGATATTGTGAACAGAAAACATTAACTTGCCAATGCAATGATAAAGATATAATATTAATATCTTGACATACAAAATAATTCTCATGAAGGAGCGCCTAATTCACAGAGCTAAACACAGATATTAATCCCCACATGGATAAGCACAGAGCTACATCGAGGGGTTCTGCTCACTCTATAAAATTCTATAATAGAAAAGCAAATTTCACATTTGCTAGATCTGTGACTGGAAGTATAGAATAAGGCCTGTATCATGTACATAGACTCATCTATATGAAATCTAGATTTCTGTTTTTTATGCAGTGAGCTAATTAGCAGTCCAAACTCTTTTCTAAATGAACTTTTGCTTAACCATCTCTCTTCAATATCATTTCCTTACTCCAGTGTCTTGTCCCTTCTCGTTTAGCAGGGAGATGAGTTTGTAGGGCAGTGATCTACTCTGGTTGCCAGTGAGATCCTTCAGGGCAACAGTCGCAGTGCCAATTAATCTGCAGGAGAAACAGAAAACATAGATGCCTAAGTGAGGGACCTGGTCCATCATCTTGCAGGCCCTCCCCGTACCATGGCATTCATCTGTTACCATTAACGTCACTAGCAACAAACAGCTCATGGGCTGAGGTATTCTGGCAGTAAACATGAAATGCCTGCCACTACTTCTTCATGATAGGTAGTCATTCCAAGAGTTAAACGATAATGCCTATGCAGTCCAACTATCATGAATGCCAGAAGGAAAGACTGGAGCTCCCCCCACCCCCCTCCACCCGCCACACCACAGAATCCAAGCACAGAGAAACATAAGACAAAACTCGGAAAGAATTGCATTTTCCACAATGGAAATTTTTAAAGGACTCATAAAATTTCAACCTTTAAAAAAATCCTCCCAAGGAGACCTTCTCAAAGTATCTGTCTACTTTAAGAATAGGTAATTAGATTATTGATGGGGCTAACTTCCTCCCCGCATATATTCTGATTCAAACTAAAATGTGTGTACTGTTCCTTTTCTCAGACCCTGGAGTTACACCATATCTATACCACTTGCCCACCTGGGAAATGATCAAAAAATATTTCCAAACACTTATCTCCAGGGGAGATGCTCAACATAAGAATGTAATCCATGAAAAACAGTCTGTAACTTGGGGGATGGAACATGAAACATGAATTAGAGCAGGGGAATGGAAGAAGTTCTCTTCCTGAAATGCAATCAGAAAGGCGGAAAAGCCCAGGGGCTGCTTTCTTCTCAGCAGGGACAGTGAAAAGGAGCAGAAAAATAGTAAGTATGTATATTATTTATATCTTGCCTACAGTTACAGCCACTTATACTAACATGGAGCAAATGTGATAGAACAGAAAATTGTTAGCATTAAAATGGGAAACTAAGCATCAAACCCTTAAAGTCAAAAAAGAGATTATTTACAGTATATCAAAATAACCACAGTGAGGAAACTATATATAACCTGAGCTCTGGGGCAAAAAAAAAAAAAAAAAAATTGGGAAAAAAAAAAAAAAAAAAAAAAATCAGGAAGGTTCATTTTGTGGAGAAATTATTTTATCTAGAGACTTAGAGTTTCTTTAAAAATCAGGAAAAGCTGATGTCAATGTGGACCTGTGATTTTAAAGTGCTAGTCTATATTCATATTCTTCCCCCAACTCAGAAATAGTACTAGATGATAGAACTGGAGTCTACAGTCCGAGCACAAATGTCAGTGACTGCTCTGTGAATAGATATATTGCACAAGACCAGAAAATTGTGGGAGCACCCTGTTTCACCCCGTTTACCTCGTGATATGGATGGTTTGCATATGATTTCTTGGAAGAGTGCAATTCTCATACAGAGTACTGCACACAATGCCCCCACCATGACAGAGTCTCAGTTTTCCAAATATCATAATCAGTCTGTAGTTGGCAACAGGAAATAAAAAATTGCCTCCAAACAATGACTTAACTTTTCACCCCTTTCAGGTCAATACAACAATTAGATCTACCAGTCAATGCTGAAAACTGATGGGAATTTTACAGAACGTTGTTTAGACAATTATGTTCATATAGTACATATTAGAATATTTTCCTACTGTGTTAGATTTCTCTCCCTCTAACATGTTGAGGACAGGGTTTTATATGTCATTCCATCTCTAGTCTTCAACATAAGGCAAGAGCTCTAACATTTCCCCACATCTCCCTTAGCCCACAGAATGCCTCAGCAAAATTTCTAACTATATCTTAAAAACAGAATGGTTAGATATGGGGTTCACTAATGGAGATTAAAGAACAAAATGTGAAAAGTGTTTTTTTTAAAGTAATCTGACTGGTGCTAAATTCAAAATGAGATCCTCCTTTTGAAAGACATGGAAATACATGAAACTTTATGCCTCATAGTTCCATGATTCATAGCCTAACTCTGACTAGGATAATGACATTGTACATCTAAACTAATTTGTTTTTGCTAAAGTCGGAGCCTCTATCTGCAGTAAATAAATCTTAGAATAACCAGTGTACCGTGCTGAGACAATGTGGACATGTGAAGAGGCCTGACCAGCATTTCTCAATCTCTTCAATACTGAACATTGTGATCTCATTAATTTTTCCGTTGTGAGGGGCTGCCCTGTGCTTTGCCAGAGGCTCAGCAGCATCTTGGTCTCTCCTCACTGGATGCCCATAGCAGCTGTAATCACTGAACACATCTCCACACACTGCCAGTTATCTGCCCCAGCTTGAGGCCGGTTCCTATTCCAGCCCTAACCCTATGTCCTTCCTTTGAGGCCTTGTCTATGTAACCCAACTCTGTGAGTCTGCTTCAATATTAGCAAACGAATGGAATTAAATAATTCCACAGACCCTTTTCACTCTAAAGTTCTGCTTCTAAGCTTGCACATGTACTATTTTCTATATATGTCTATTTTATAAAATTTTTGTATTAAATATTTTTTCTTAAATGTATTGCTCTACCTTATGGGAATAGATATCTAGAACAGGCCTGTATTGGAAAATCCAAAATGATAGGGGGGGTTTTGCCTTCAAGGGTATTGGCCTATGAGTCAAGGATCAGAATTAATTCATGCAAATACCTGGGGAAAGGTTGGGCCACTGCATGAGTGTTATATCACGCAGTAGGGAATGGTGGGGTTTGAGGATAACTGCCTAAAACACAAAGCCCATCTGCTCACCTTTTATGGTCTTGAATGGTTTTACAACATTTATTTAAGAGAGAGAGAGAGAGAGAGAGTGAGCTATAAAGTCTAACCTCAGTTTCTTCTTTTAGAAACCTTTAGTCCTATTCCTAAGATTTACTTTCTCATCATAAAATTCTGATGCTTTTGCTAGTGGGAGACATATCGAAGACGACATGATTTTTTTCTCCCGAAGTAAAAACAGTGTTGAGATGATTACAATACCACTGTTATTTAGAGAGAGAGAGAGAGAGAGTGAGCTATAAAGTCTAACCTCAGTTTCTTCTTTTAGAAACCTTTAGTCCTATTCCTAAGATTTACTTTCTCATCATAAAATTCTGATGCTTTTGCTAGTGGGAGACATATCGAAGACGACATGATTTTTTTCTCCCGAAGTAAAAACAGTGTTGAGATGATTACAATACCACTGTTATTTTTACAACTAGATTGAGTTAAGGAAAAATGGAAACAGTTAACAACTTTTAAGAGTTTTTAAGAGCTGAGTAGAAGGAAGCTTGGCCTGTGGATAAGTGAGCTCCGTAGTGACTCCCAGGCCTTCCTGGCCTGGCCTGGCCTGTTTTCTGTGATGTTGCCTGGATACAGAACACTGCAATAACTGGGGATGATGACTTGGCCTCCTACACAGGACATCAGAACAGCTCAGTGAGACCACAAGACAATTTCTTTTGAAATTTTCCTTTCATATTACTAATGCTACAGATAGCCCAAAATGACAGTGTGACAGTAACAGGGAAACTCTACCCTGTGTTTCATGGAAAAATAAGTCTCCCCTTGGAATCCACCCAACACCAAAACAGATGAGCCACAGTCTCAGAAGAAAACTATATTGAAAGTATCACAAGGGCCTTTGGCTTCCCTGCCCTGCTTGAGAAATTAAGTAGCTGCACATGTATTTTAAAATGAAAAAACAAAAACCAGTCATGGCCCTTTATTTTTTCAGTCAGTGAATGTTACACAGCTCTGAGCTAGGTATCTACGTGACAAAGAACTACTAAGCAGGACAGATGTTTACTTTACAGATGTTATGACTGGGGTAATAAGAGTTTAACTATAAACTAGTCAGTTTAGATATGCAAGTATCAGTTAAGAATCTCTAACTACTTTGTTTGACTTAAAATGGATAGAATGTAGTTTTTTTGTTTTTTGTTTTGTTTTGTTTTTAAAAAGGAATATAAAATGTTCTCTCTCTCTGTTAGCACTGGTGCCCTGTTAACAGCCACATGCCTCTGTGGTGAGTAAGGGCTTTGCTGCTGGGTTCTTAAGCAGGGGAGCTTGCGTCTATGCAGCCAGGACACAGCCCACATGGATTACTGGATGAGGGCTTCTGGAAATTCCTCCAGGAAAGAGACAAAAATATGTTGGAGGCTGGAAAATAAGTCACATGTCACACTGTTTCTGCCTCTGGGGACTGTAGCAGAGTCTCCATGACCATCCTTAGGGGAAAACAATCTGCATCTGGGCTTCTATGAGATCCCCAGTGAAGGCCCTGAAAAGATCATGACTTCCTGTCCCTTGAAGCACAGGGATGATCCCTTAGCTGGCTGAGCATGTCATTTGGGCCAGCCTCGAATGGTCACGGGCTTCCCAGGTTGGGACCCATCTCCCTTCCCCACGACAATCCCTTCTTTGGGCAGGTATCCATCGCCTTCCTCCGTGCCAAGAGAGGCAGTGGCAGCTGACAAATATTCTTTGCTCACCCGAAGGTTAGTTAGCCTCTTGAACCTTCTCTTAGGTAAATTATGTACTTCCTTATAAAGCCCAGTTTTAACAAAGAGCCCAGCTAAATTTAGCAAGACACATTCCCCTCATATCTAATCACCTTTCATATCTGATCGGATTCCTCATCCAGCAGCAGAGGTACAACCACACTGGCCTGCCTTCAGCAAGAATCCTGCTAGGTCTGTTTGGTCAGAAACCTCCTTACCCTCCTAGGAATTTTCCATCCACTGATTCCCACTCTGCTCCATGGCTATGGAGCATGTGTGATGGGCATGTGATGTTTAGGCCCATTTTTCCCCCACTATAAGACCAGATTGCAGAGATTCCTCTACCTATGGCACTGGTGCTGGATAAAGTCTTTCTTGTCATGCTTTAGCAATTATCACTGAATATATTTTTCTTTAACCCACCATGACAGCAGGTCACATTATAGGAATCCCTGGCTGCCGTAAAGTCCCTCAAAGGGTGCTCCTCAGTTCTCCCATCCACTTGCACTCCCAGGATTCCCAATCTGCCCACCCTCACTCGGCCTCTGGATTATCTCCCAAGCTGCTCTTTGGAATGTGCCTCCCAGGAGCTCCCTG